GACCTTTTTCTGTTGTTCACTAGTGTGAGGAAGACTCGCACGCAAAAGTTCAACAGGCATCTCCCTACTAATGGCTTTGGCTGCATCAGATCCACTAACAGCCACACCTGGTGGGGCTTGTGTGAAGAAACATTGCATTACGGTGTCGTATTTGTTGAAACAGTATTTCGTGAGTAACCCAAAAAATGCATCAAACGAGGCCTGCCAGAATGACCTATTAGGTATGCTGCACTGGGCAGCAGCATGGGGATCTCTTAAGATCTCAGTTGCCCTCTCAAGAAGAGATTTTAGAACAATAGATGCCCCATCTCCAGCAGGGCTTCCAACAGGACGGAGCGGAGGAGGCTCTGCTGAACAAACCACTGATGCAAGACAGGCAGCAAGTGCTTTGAGCTCCATCTCACAAATACACAGTGACACAGTCCTTCCAAGGCTCACAGTAGTCTCAGTTGCCCCAGGGTCACTCGGAAGCCCGCCAAACAAGAACCTTAGATGCCGGAAAATAGCCATGCAAACCATCCTGGTCAGTTCACTTCCAGGGAAAAGAAGCTGCAGGTATCGAACTAGCAGCTTCCGGCCCTTGGGAAGGGAGACGATCCTCAAGAAGACAACATCATCTTTAGCAGCCAAATTCACAGAGTGGCCATTTTTTCCTAGGGGGTCAACTAATTGAAGTGATGATGCCAAACCCTCAAGCAGAACCTGCCGCCTGCGTTTCAACTGGTCTCCTCCATCTGGAAGTTGATTAAATTGTAGGAACCGGTCAATATCATCAACATCAAGAAGAAGACAGAGACCATCCTCAATAGTCACCCTAGCTGCTAGCATTGGCTCTTGCTCCAGGGGTTTCTCAGATATTTTCTGTTCAATGCATCCAGTAGGTGATGATTTTGGCGGATCAACTTCAAGAAGCGGGCGGGGCCTGCGAATAGAAGAGAAAGCAACCCTTCCAAGAGCATCAACCTGGAGAAAAGGATGTGGCTCAGAATTAGCGTGAGTTCGAGCACTACCATCCCTCAAATTATTTGGGCAGAAATGGTGCTTCAACTTTGCACCAGCGGACTTCTTTGCCAGACAAGCTTGGTGATAATAATCATCAACATAAGGATCGTTGCTATGGGTAGCAGCCAGCTGCGTTCTAAGAATATTCTCTAATTCATCTGCTGTCATGTACTTGGATTTAAATCTTGGCCATGCACTATTATTTCTCTGGCTACCAACGTCAAAGCCTTGTTGGGAGTAGTGCAGGCCCTGTCTACCTCTCAGCATTAGTTTTGCCTTTTGATCTCTTAAATCAGCCAACCCAAGCATATCAAAATTATTCAGCACCTGCGAGGGTGGAGACATATGGTGATTAAACAGTTGGGATTGCAACCCCGGCATATGACCATAGGGTGAATGCAAGGGATGGTGTTGTCCAGGCTGCTGGGGTTGCTGCGGGCCCCCATGTGGTGGTGCGAAACCATTTTGGCGATGCAACTGCTGCGGGATCATATTACTGGTCAGGCTTGATTGCTCTCCAGGATACAAAGTAGATTGCTTCAACCATTGGCTTGGAATTTGAGTATGAAGGGCAAGCCCAGGAGGTGTTCCTTGAGCAAACTTTCCACCATACTGCGGGCCATGATGTGAGGCAGTTGAGTGATTTGCAGGGTTTAAAAAGGGAGGTAAGTTAGGAGAGGAAAGCGGCATTTGCTGTCCACCAGGTTGATTTGGACCATTCGGATGCTGTGACTGGTTATTTGGGGAAGCTTGTGGATGCCTCACACTAGGAGGAGGAAATGAAGTGAAAGGTAATTTTGGGATGAGTATTGGTTCACTGGAGTAGTGGTGGTTTGGGGTTTGCTGTTGATATTCATGTTGCTGTTGTTGCTCAGGGTATGAGGAAGTTCTGTACAAAGGATTTGGTTCCAAAAAGCGAGCAGCAGAAGAGTACGGCTGCGATGGCCATCTTTTGCTGTCATTGCTTTCACCATCAAGAGCTTTCCGACCAATCCAATTATGAAAATCTGCATCTTGTGCCCACTCAACAGCAGATGAGCCTGAAAAATTCATCGTGTTACAAAAATATACCTTCACTTAACTAATTAACCAAAAATGAATTAAATCAGGAAAGATGATCTCAAGGGCAAACTTCATATTGGTAAGAGAAATACAGATTCGACCTCTACTGAGAAAGGTAAAAGCAAAAACTCATATGTGACTTACAAGTGATTGCCAAATAATGTTGTGAATTAGAGAAGTCACTCTTTCTAAACACATCACCAAACAAAAAACTCTAGTTCCCAGTCAAAGTTCTCAGCATATGCTGCTTAATGGAACTGAAAAGCAGCAATCCTTAACATCACAAAGCAAAATCCCACAATGCTTAAAAGGAGTATCAATAATTAACAAACCAAGGTAATGTCCGAGAACCTCTTAAAGAAAAGCATCTGGCAAGTTAAGCTTAAGTCGAATCAATATGAGTATTCTTATGCATCACACTTTCTGACTATTTAGCGCATCTATTTCCTATGTAAAGGCTCCCATGAGTAAAGAACCAACCAAACACTTGTCCAGAAAGAAATAGGAATAGTATGACCTGTGTGGGCATTGCTTTCAAATTTATAAAGCTTTTATAACAAGAAAATTGAATATAAGCCAGAAGTAATCCCAAAAGATATCCATACGCTATACTCACTCTCTCTGTATTCCCTGTCACCAATAAATCCTGGATTTATGGCGCCACCATCATCCTTGTTCAACTGCGAAAGAAGGTGGTCAAGTAAGATATTAAATATTAGCAGCACTACAGCTTGTAGGAATTGAGATGACAAGCTAACATAACGTTATGAAATATGAATCCGGTAGATGTCAAGAAAACATTAAACAGTCAATACAGTCACCATGTACAGCAAAGTACTTTCGTGAAAGCCCTCTCACTCTTGTTTTTCCAGAATCAGATCAATAAGGGAGTCACAACAGCTGAACTCCACTATAAGATGCAATTTCCCTTTTTGATCAAGTAAAGTGCACTACGAGAAGCTGTTGTAGCATTGTATCACTTATTGAAGGTCAGCACAAACCTCTGGGGGAATTTTCTAACTTCAACAGCATTTCTAGTAAGGAAATGAGACAAAGACCAAATGTTGCACACTACCAACGCTTAAAAACATTACTTTTCAAACACCAAACTGAATGAATTGTTGTTAAGGAATTGATCACATGGGCACATCCCATGCTGGAAATTGATGTTCCAAAGTCAAAGGAGCTCAAAAGCAGTTTCCCCTAGGAAACGGCAAGGGTGAACTGGAGTTTAACATTTTGAGGGGGGAAATCTAACATAAGTTGGTCTCATATGGGCAAGACAAGTCCGAAATTTTATCCTTCTTAACTATCTCAAATTTAAAAAAATGATCTTGTTCTTTACCAAGTTTGCAGTGAACTCAGGCATCCAGCACTACAGATTTGCAGATATCATTGCTACATGGCAGAAGATTGTTAGGTCCTACTTCCTAGTCAGATGGCAATGTAGACCAAATGAAGCACTAACAATCCAGTGAAGCTTGAACATTCTAGTGAAGCTTGAACATTCTAGTGAAGCTTGAACATTCTAGAGAACAGGGTCCAAAAATTAAAGAGGAACTGTGGACCTCTAGTTCACAAATTTTTGAGCTTGGAACAATCATGGAAACCATGGAAACTAAGTCATTTCAGTCATTCCTCACAAAGATATAACACAAGATTAATAAAAACAATGATTCAAGCAACTTTAGAAAGAATTACCTTGGAAAATTTGCTACTAAGGTCATCAATCTCTGACAAAGATCCAATAGCTTCAACCTACAAGTGAGAAATTGTTTAGATGCAAATGTTCACCAATTCAGCACCCAACTACTAAGAACTAAAAGTTTCACAGAAGTACACACTCATTTAACACATAAAGGAAAGGTTGCAAATACACAAGACTGAAACATGGTTATCCACTTCCATTTCTCATCAAACAAGTTTTCGACCATTTCAAAGTCCATAATGACCTTATTTCCTATAACAACAAGAACAACAACAACAACAACGACCCAGTAAAATACCACTAGTGGGGTCTGGGGAGGGTAGTGTGTACGCAGACCTTACCCCTACCCCGAGAAGTAGAGAGGTTGTTTCCGAAAGACCCTCGGCTCAAGAAGACGAAAAGAAAAGAAAAGAGGAGAGACAATATCAGCACCGCCAACAGATACCATAAGAAAAAAATTAACAACATCATGAAAGCAAGAAAATAGGTGCAGAGCAAAAGCGGTAACCATTAAATAGAGTCGGCTCTATGAAATGAAAGAGTAGTAAGACACAACATTGCCACTAGTTGTCTCAGACAAAAACCCTACCAAACTAGCCTCACAAATGTACGAACTAAGGAAAGACTCAACTACCTCCTAACCTACAACCCTAATACTCGACCTCCACAGCTCCCTATCAAGGGCCATGTCCTCGGAAATCTGAAGCCTCGCCATGTCCTACCTGATTACCTCTCCCCAATACTTCTTAGGCCGCCCTCTACCTCTTCTCGAGCCTTCCAAGGCCAGCCGTTCACACCTCCTTACCGGAGCGTCTGGGCTTCTCCTCTGAACGTACCCAAACCATCTAAGCCTCGCTTCCCGCATCTTGTTATCAATGGGAGCCACGCCCACCTTCTCCCGAATATCATCATTCCTAATCTTATCCATCCTAGTGTACCCGCACATCCACCTCAGCATCCTATCTCTGCTACTTTCATCTTCTGGATATGTGAGTTCTTAACAGGCCAACACTCAGCCCCATATATCATGGTCGGTCTAACCACCGCCCTATAAAATTTAGCTTTGAGTATCGGTGGCACTCTCTTGTCACACAGGACTCCAGATGCTAACCTCCACTTCATCCACCCCACTCCAATACGGTGTGTGACATCCTCGTCGATCTCCCCTACCCCTTGGATAACCGACCCAAGGTACTTGAAACTGCCTCTACTCGGGATGACCTGTGATTCAAGCCTCACATCCACGTCCACTTCCCTCGACTCAGCGCTGAACTTGCATTGTTCAGTGCTCCAGGTATTCCGTCTTTGTCCTGCTCAACTTGAAACCCTTAGACTCAAGAGCCTGTCTCCAGACCTCCAGCCTCTCGTTAACACCGGCTCGCGACTCATCAATCAGAACCATGTCATCAGCGAATAACATACACCATGGCACCTCCCCTTGAATATGATGTGTTAACGCGTCCATCATCAGGGCAAATGAGAGCGGGCTGAGCGCAGAACCTTGGTGCAATCCCATGACAACCGGGAAATGCTCAGAGTCGCCTCCTACTGTCCTAACCTGAGTCTTAGCCCCACCATACATGTCCTTAATCGCCCTAATGTGGGCAAGCGGCACACCTTTAGCCTCCAAGCATCTCCAGAGAACTTCTCTAGGAACCTTGTCATACGCTTTCTCCAGATCAATAAACACCATGTGCAGATCCTTCTTCCTCTCCCTATACTGTTCCACCAGTCTCCTAATAAGGTGTATAGCTTCCGTAGTAGAACGACCCGGCATGAACCCAAACTGGTTGTCGGATATAGACACCGACCTCCTCACCCTTGCTTCAACCACCCTCTCCCAAGCTTTCATGGCATGGCTCAGTAATTTGATACCCCTATAGTTGTTATTCCTATAGTAATTTCCTATAAGGATATGCTAAAATTGAAAACAACTTAGTCCATAAAAAGACAACTACCACAATCAAATGAGTGAATAATATCCCAGTAACTATGCCCTAATATCCCCAAGACTCTAAAGACTTTGTCCCGTTAAACAGAAAAAATGGCAGCAACGTCAAAAACACCAACACCTATACCTCAATCCCAAACTAGTTGGGAGTAGAACTGCAAAATGCCTCAACTAAACTTTTTTCATATATATAAAGATCTCAGCTGAACTATTTAAAAGAAAAAAAATGCTAAACCAGATTTCCTGAAGGAGGGTGTAAACATGATTGAAAACGTGATGCAAAACCATGAAACCCCATATAAATAAAGCATGCAAATCTTAGAGTCCTCCCTCTAGTTTGGTAGCTAAACAATCAATGCTTATCTAAATGACCTCAGAACAGGCAATTAGCTTCAAAGATAATCAAACTTCTTAGCATAAGAGGATCCGAGCATCAATTTAAAGATCAAGTGCATAAGCAAGCCAAAGAAACTCCTAGACAACTCCCACCAACGAAAGCACAGGTGAGAGGGAGGAAAACCTAAGAGTCTGTCTATCATATTAGAAGCTTACACAAATTAAACATTCTGAATAACACTAATACAAAATAAAGCAGCATCTAGAAACAAACTATTAAACCAAATCAGGAAAAAATTGAAGATATGTACAGAATGTTATTTTGATATTTAGTTCACTGCCTGTCCATAATGGAAATACGATTAAAAAATGATTCTAAAAACATGAATGCATAGCCAAAAGCTAAAAAGCAACCTCTTCTTGGCCTAATTGATACTCTTCATCATCAAACCCAACCGGAGGAAGACCATCCTCTTCATCTTCCAACCCACCCAGTTCAACTTCTTCGACTACATCATTACCAAAGAATGCATATTGTGATGCATCAAATACTTCCTCTCCTGTAACACCAAAAAGGAAAGACAAAATTTAGAAATCAACCATGAACACTAGCAAACAAATCCACCATAAAATAAATTCCTCAGACACAGAATTAATGCAAAGTGACCAAGCAAGCCATGACCTCATACACTTTCTCAAAAAAAGCCATGGACCTCATACTATCTGCATCACAAGATTGCATACAAGTCTTACACCAGCATTCCCTTATACTAGGAATGAACAAAAAAAGGACTGACAACAATGGATTAATGTGAAAAAGCCATTTGAACACCAAGAGAGAAGAGTGAAGCATAAATCCCACACAAACTATCACAATAAATCAATTTTAGTAACAAAAATACTCTAACAATATATTTTCAATTATATCTTTTAGGGAATAGTCGAGGTGCATTCAAGGTGGCCCAATACTACCATTTTCACAAAAAACAATTTAACCATTTTAAGAAGGGCAGGGTAGGTTTACTTTTAACTTCTTTTATTTCAAATCCATAATATGGAATTATGGCTTCTATTATTGATGAAAATAAATCTGGAGTAAACTGAAGAAGCAAAGCTTACAAATAAACAAGGATCTAAACAGAATTTTGAAGCTCAAGAATTATACAATAACCTGCAGGGCGGTTGTCATCAAATTCCATAAGATTCCTATGATTTAATACTGCCTCCGCCTTCAATATATAAAACAAACAAAAATTTGGGAATTTTCTGTAGTAACTTAACGATGCAAAAAAGAGAGGAAAAACTGGTATCTCCCTTCGAAAGCACACAAAAACCTCGAAAAAATGTTAATTAAAAAGGAAAACTATTACGGGTATTTGATCTATTTCATTCAAGAGTTGGTGAAAAAGAAAAAGGAAAATAGAAATTAAATCTGGAAAAGTCAAAGCTAAAATCTAGTGAGAGAGGGGGGGGAGGGGGAAGAAGAAAGTGGAAACCCTTTTTTTGTCAATAATAAGTTCTAGGGTTTCTAAGAAGAGAAGATGGGATAATAGGGGAAATTCATTGGTGAGGAAAGAGGAAGAGACGAGAAATTTCTGTTGAGATTTTTGGGTAGCCGACGTGAGCCATCTGGGCTTAGGGATAACAATATAATAGCTCTTTGCCTTTTTTAATTCTCGACCTATAATAAAATAGTAGCAAAAATCATTTTTAATTAATTACAATTATTTTTTATAATTATAAACTTAATAATAACTTAGACTAGTATTTTATATATGTAAATATAATTTATTTATTTTTTTAAGAACTGAATATTTATTTTTCACATGTCAAACTTCATTATTTTTCTTGTGAGACAAATAAAAGTGTTTTCGATGAAAAAATATAATATAATATAAAAATAATTTGCTTAAGCGGTGAGGCAAAAAGGAGAATCAATTATTTTTTTACCTTGTTTTAATTTTAGAGTAACTTTGTAAAGAGATTTCAAAAATGGATTGAACTCTCTTAGTGACTACCTTGAAGAGAAACGAAATTAAATCGATTCAACAGATTAACTTAGAAACAATAATATTGTTTGTTTTGGTACCGCCAATGTTAATTTAACAAAAACTGATGATGTCTAGCTTAGCTTAGTTTTGAAAAAAAAAATTAATCAATGCAGAAATGCATAATATTTTCTAAATTGATGTGGGTATGTATACAATTATTATTTACTTATTAATTTTCATTATGTTCCACGCACGTGTAGTTTAGCAATTGTTCTAAAATTCATATTTTAAAAAAGATAATCCTTTAATATAACGCATAACTTATAAATAAAAGTCAAACTTACAAAAAGTGCAAATTCTAGTTCTTATAGGTTGTGTTATTAGTTAAATGTTGCAAATGGCCTTTCATTCTTCCTTTGTTGAACTTTTTTGGAGGAGGAAAGAAAGTTAATACTGACATAAGATTTTCTGTCATAATTTAAAGTAAAAATAGGAAAAAAAGTATTTGAAATCTAATTTGATTATATGAAATAAAATATTACTTGCTTAGTATCCTTGCAACATCATTAATAAAATTTTAAACAAAAAATCAATATATACATATCAATAACTATAAAATTAAAATTACAACAAATTTAATAAAATTAAAGCAAGACCAAACATTATAAATATAAGATTAATCTGAGCTTTGTCTTATATAAGAATGGACAACAAAAGTATTACCATAATTTTATATTTTAGAGTGACTCGAACTCAACTTTTTAGAGTAACATAAAAAGGTAGTACAATTAAAAAAATATTATTTATTTAACGTATAAATATAACAAAAAAAAGGATCTCTAGAATTGAAAATCTCATATACAATTTAGAAACTAAAAGACACCATTGTTGTTGTTCATTCAGGTAGAAAGCGCATTAAAAAAACAAGAAGAAGCTCAAAAAACATGTTAAAGGGATACCTCTAATAGAGGTTAAAAATAGAGAATTAGTTTGAGTATTGAAGTTAAAAGCATGAAAAGTATAGAAACTTTTACATTCAAATCTATAGAAAGATTTGGGAAATAGTTATAATTCATAGAGGAAAAACTAAGTGTGGGCCTACTATTGGCTTGTTCGTGCAACAAAAGCATAATTTGTTCTTTGCACCCGAATTAATATGGACTAGTCAGGTTGAGAGGCACGATGGAATTATAAATCAACTTATTTTGTATTTCCGACAAATTGAATAAAATTATAAAACTTCATGTAAAAAGAAAATATAAAGCTCCAATCTGCCCAATTATTACAACTCAAAGACTAAAAAAGAATTACCTACGGGTTTCAATGGATATTTAAAAACCGACTAAACCGACCGAATCGATTTTTAGGTTTATTTTAATAAAACCGTAGGTTTTTATATAAATCTATAACCGTACCGATAATTAGGGTAAGTTTTTTATTTTATAAAAATAAACCGAAAAAATACCGAATCGTACTGAATAAATTTACATGTGAAAAATATATTTATATATTAAGTTTAAGAATAATAATGTATTAAAATTTTCCTTGGCGCGTGGAATTGTGAAAACGGTTACAAGCAAACAATTAATTAAACTCAAAATCTTAATTCCCAAACCTATAATGCTACTCCTATTGAAGCTAAATTATTTCCAACATATTCACTAGCAAGATCCAAGTTATTCTAGCGATTAGTAATAAACTACAATGTATTGAATATGTTTCCTTTCATATGATTTAGATTTATCTTTTTGAATATTTAATCTTTGACAGACTTTATTCTTGAGTTCCAGCTTCGTTAATATATTTTCACTCGGTTAATATCTTTGTTTAGTTTCTTTTACGCTGTTGTAAAATAGTTGATGGATCTATACTCTGACCATCTTTAATATTTTCTTAATTCATCGCCCTTTAAAGAGTAAGAATATCCAGAGAGTTTGCCAAGTCCTATAAAAGTACGTATGTTATTGCATTCTACTTCTAGTAGTGAGTTTTACATGACATTTTAAAAAAATATCGAAAATTAACATAACCATACCGATACCGATACCGAAGAGAAACCGACATGATTGGGACGGTTTCGAAAAGTCTAATTTGGTTATGCGTAATAGAATAACCAAAAAATTGGTATGGTATAAATTTTTAAAAATAACCGTCCGAATCGAACCATTAATCTATCTAAATTCCATTAACACCCTTAGAAATTAGAATTACCTATAGAAAATAACAAATTAATCTATCTAAATTCCATGACAATGAGAATCCTATGTGCAAACAAAATCTTTTATAAAAAGGCTTTAACTATAGCTGACCGTATTTGAGAAAGAAGAATTAATCCAAATAGCCGCTCACCCTAGAACTTAAACTAAAAATAGCCAGCGAATGTATATTATATGCATAATTTATGTATTAAATATGTATAATCATGTATAATCAATATATAGTTTATGTATATGACTAGAAAAAATAAATAATTAATATGACCGGCTATTTGTGTAAAAATTCCTTTGAGAAACCATCTCTTCTGTTGCCTATGACTAGGGGTGTCAAAGTCAGCCCAAGTAAGCGCCCCAACCTGCCCAAGGTTTAACGGATTGGGCAAGACGTTATTTTGCTTATACGTCTATTTGGGTTACCCCAACTTAATCCATCATTTTTTGATAGCCCATGCTGACTTGTTGAATTGCACCAATACGACCCGTGAAACTCACTCAAATCGAAAATCAGTGTGTGTCTACTCCAGTTGGATGAGTGATCAGTCCATTATGCCTTTCTTTTCTAGGTTCCAGAATTCTTGGCCATTAAAAAAGTTTTCCATGAATAGATCATTTCCTTTTATCTCTATTCTAATTTCATTAAGACAGACTACAATTCTTTTTTTAAATCAATTGAACTGCTAACACAGAAAGACTACAAATTTACTTGTAAAATTGATGATTTTTTTAATCAGAAAAGGAAAAATTGCTCCACTCACTTTATGAGTTAAAATTATATAATGTCACAAACCCTTGAGGCAAATAGTAAAAATTGACGTGCAAGTACATATAGATTTTTAAATCACACTTTTAACAAAAAACAAATAGTCTTCTTTCTTCTTCTTCTTTTCTTCCTTTTTTTTTGCGAACTATAACATATTAATTTTTTAACATTTTGTCGAGCCACATCATATTTTCTCCGTTTTATATTTTTCAAAAGAGTTCATTCTTAATATTTCATGGTGAAACCTGCAAGGTTAAAGAAGTTTTTATAATGTATGAATTATTTATATGTTGTGACTGAAATGCTTGCCACAAATATGCAAAAATTACCACAAAAAGTTAAATGAATAGCTTAAAAATTGTAACCACAAGTTTGTTTTGTATAATGAGATTGGTTGAAAATATATATTGATGTCTCTCAAAAATAAAAAAAAATACCAATTAAGTTGGGCAGGTTGTGCTATGACCCGTTGTTTAGCTCATTTTGACTCAACACATCTTAGCCCAAGCAACCTTTGGGTAGGGTTGGACAATGACCCATCTGTTGATTCAACCCATTTTAACCTCTCCAAATTCATATCAGCCTACCTATTTGCCACCCCTTATCTACGACCAAACTTCAACAAAAAAAACCCTTCTGAATTAAACCAAAATAAGACTTTGCACGATGTCACGACCCAATTCCTCTTATAGATCGTAATGGCACCTAACCTCGTCGCTATGCAAGCCAACAGTGAACTAACCATATATTTATTCCTTTTAATAATTTCAAAGTAGTTGATTTTTATTTATTAAGTAAATAAAAAGTGGAAAATTTAATAAAGTAAAGCGTAAACTAATAAAAGAGCAAATATGATAAAATAAATACTCAAAAGTCATAAAGTGTCTACTATCATGTTTCCAAGACCCGGTGTCACAAGTATATGAGCACTAGTAGAATATACAAAATACCTAAGCTACCGTCTGAAAGTGAGATAGACAGAAAGTAAATACAAAAGAGAGAGATTGCGGGTGCTGCAGAACGGACTCAAAGAGCTGCTCACCACTAAGCCTCCGGATAATGGGGGTGTGCGCCTGAATGGATACCAGATGCACCTGCCTCAGATCCTGCACGATTAGTGCAGAAGTGTAGCGTGAGTACATAAACAACATGTACGCATTAAGTATCCAGTCTAACCTCGAAGAAGTAGTGACGAGGGGTCGATATCGACACTTACTATGGGCCATCAAATCAAATATAGAAATTCTAAATAGGCATGGAATATGTGAATAATAATAATAATAATAATAATAATAATAATAATAATAATAATAATAATAATAATAATAATAATAATAATAATAACAACAACAACAACAACACAATAACAAGCAGTGAATAAATGATTCTTTAACTGATAGTAAATTCCAAAGTCTCCAACTAACACTTACTAGTTCCAAATCAATTTCGATCATTAAATAAATTATAACCTCTCAAGCCATAAAATAATATCAAGGGTAATCGGGCTCCGAGTATTATCACGCACGATTTATGTCGAGGTCGTACGGCCTGATCCAAAATACGGTGTGCAATACCGAGGGTCGAACGACACGAACCATAGATGCATCTATTATACTGCCGAGGCGAACAACCCGTTCACATGAGAGTAGAGAAGTATACCTCCCTCGCG